AAGAAGTCAATCAAAAGCTTTGGGTAGATCACAGTGCTCAAAAGAATAGAGTTCACTAACAAAGCAGCAATGAAAATGTACATAGGCTCATGAAGGCTTTTTTGAACTATGATGACCCACACAATAGTGGAATTGCTGCAAATTATTAGAACGTATACCATAAACATAATTACAAAATAAATATATCTGTATTTCTCCACTTCCACATAACCACCAAAAGTTATATATGTTATATTCATTTCAGCATTCATGAAAATCAGATATTATAAACTAAAATTTTAAACAGGCAGAATGTTTAAAAGTAGTACATATAAAATATTATTATTCATAGATACCTAAACTTGGTGTGTGTTCATCTTTAGAATCTCAACTGTTCAAGTCAGACCAAATATATGATGAAATGAAACTTCAAGCTCCATATATCTCATTCAACTCTCCACAAAGACCTATTACCATGTTCAACCTCTGGAGATATAAACCGACAGTGGTTAGCCCTTACTTACACGGGTACATTTTCCGGCTCCTCCTCCTTTAATACATACATACGTGGGTATTAATTGAAAAACAAATTTAAAAGAAGAAAAAATTAGTTGACCGGCAGAAATAACAGCAAATATAGTCCTATATTTAAATATGTGATTCTGTTCAGGCTAAGACAATTTAATGTAGATTGACATAATGCACACTGCAATGCAATGTGGGGAGACAAAATAGTTAATGCACTTTAAGATAATTTCTGTTTCTGTTTTCTTTTTTCCTATTTCCGTTGTATTTTTCCTATTTCTGTTTTCTTTCTTCCTATTTCCATTGTGTTTTGTGTGCTTTTGCAGCGTTTTTCTTATTGCTGGTGTTTTCTTAAGTTGCAGTCCGTTTTGACTCTCAGGGCAACCGTAACAGTTCCATAATTTACACAAATTTACTTTAGAGAATATAATTATTTGACAAATTGATAGAACAGAGAGGGTTCTTTTTAGAACACTCCAATTTTTCCAATTATTTATTCCAATTCAAGTCTTTCAAGTCCAATAAATAGCTTGAAATGGTACAAAGGTAAGTGATGAACTCCAAGAGGTTAAAAAAAAGGTAGGGTTTCCCAAAATCCTGTGCTGCAGAAAGTAGTGTGTTGCACAAAAAAAGGTGAGAAAAAGGCAATTAACGGTGGAAGAGAGACAGACCAGCATAACACTTAAAAACTTAGGTCTTTCCTACAAAGAAATTGCAAAGAAAGTAGAGGTGTCAGTAAGTACGGTTT